ACTGCGCAGACTCGGGCTCCAAACGAATCACCACTGCGCAGACTCGGGCTCCAAACGAATCACCACAGCACAGACTCTGGTTACAAACGAATCACCACTGCACAGACTTGGGCTCCAAACGAATCACCACTGCGCAGACTCAGGCTCCAAACGAATCACCACTGTGCAGACTCTGGATCCAAATGAATCACCACTGCGCAGACTTGGGCTCCAAACGAATCACTACAGCACAGACTCGGGCTCCAAATGGCATTATGTTTGCCAGATGACAGCAGCCATACTGAGATATTTTGGCTTCACTTTTCTATAGTGGAAGGAAGTCGTTGTACATGTCGTTTATCTTTTTAACAGTCTATGATCTGATCACAATGGAGAAAGACTGGAATGTAAATTATATCCATCTAAAGAATATCAAGAATCCAAGCTAATGGCAGGTGAAAACCACAGACTGTGTGTCAGTGAATGATGAGATATTTTCCGTAAATAAATGGTCCTGCCAGAAGAATTGCATGAAAACTTATGTCTGTTCTGTCTGTATCATCTCAGTAAGCTTTTATGAGGTTTTACACATGCGCAGTAAGGCGAATTTAACGTTTTCCGACGTTTCAGCATGGATGAGAAACTTTTGGAAAACAGCTTAAAACGCTAATGTGGATGGAGAGCATTTTAAAACAAAAACTCAGTTTTCAAATGTATGCAGATTAATATAGACGTATCCTAAAAATCATTACTGCAAGCCACGATCTGCTTACTGACTCATACTGCGTTTAGACTGAACTACAGCACTGCTCACACAAAACATGACTGGTTTCATTGAGTGCAGGGGCGTAAATCGCGGGGGGGGGTGGGGGGTCAGGACACCCCCCATAAATACTTAAAATAATTGTGTAAGTAGTAAAGCAATCTAAACGCAAAAAAAACTATTTAAGTTTAGAAATGTTTTGAGTCCCCCCCTCCCTTGCTTCGAAGTGGTTTGGTCCACTGCCTGCTTTCCCCCTTTATACCGATACACACACACGAGTCCAGCGGAGAGAACAGAGGGCTTCAGTAGTTATGTGTATGTAGGCTGCCAAGGCTATTTTATTCACTTTAAACATTGGTTGAAGTGATTCTTTCTCTTTAATACTGATTATGCTGGATCATTAATAAATTAGTCATTTAAAAAATGATGATATCCAATGTATTTTTCTATGAGTGATTATAAGGTTACCTAGCTTAGCTTGTTTAATACCGTACCTTGATTGGATAGTAAGTCTCCCACTGCAACTAACAGGGCGATAAGCCTGTGTGTGAACTGATATTAGGCTAATATTGTAGATCTACCGATGTGTTGGGTTTTGCTCAATATGATGTTAAGTGCAGTGGGCTTGCTGCGGTTGAATATCTAAATAAGAGACGTCCTCAGTCCCAGACAAAACCTAAAATACTATGTGGAGGACGCAAAATAATTTAATAATTATAATATGACCACATGGTGAACCTATGAACCAAACTCATATTTAAACACGGTCTCTATGCTATGTACACATATCTATCCTTACAAGTACAATTTTGCTGTATTATTTGTGTCCCCTTCAAAAATTGCTCTTGAGAAATTGTATGTTTATTGCCCCCCCTACTGTTAGATGAAATTTACGCCCTTGATTGAGTGTATGCATAAACTGATGAACAACTTACATTTGACTAACATTACATTTTTATCATATGTGTCCAAATGGCAGCATGCCTTTCAACAGACCTTCAGACAGATGAAAAGAGGAGAAACAAATGAGTCTTGCATTTTTACGTACGGCTGCGTTTGGCCTCTTGATCTCCCTCCTCATCATTATCAGGGTCGATGTCCTCAGCTTGTGTGATCCAATCCAGATATCCCTTCAAATCCTCCTCAAGCTGCTGCTTCTCACGCAGCTTCTGGAAATCTCCACGAGCCTTGGCCTTCTCACGCTCCTTAGAGAACTCTCTGTGGTGCACACATGCAGACAAATTCACACTAGCAACAACGTATGTATGGAAGAGATCATGTACCCAGATATAGACCATGGAAATTTTGTTTTGGTTATGGCACTTTGAAGGGCGCATCTATGAAATTACAGAAACTGAACGTTAAGAGCATTTGGATTAAATAACTCACCCACTTAGAACGCCCAATACTAGATTGAGGACAAAGAAGGAGCCGAAAATGACCAGACTGACAAAATAGACCCAAGGCAACTCAGAGCCCATAGCATCATTCATCTGAAACACACAACGACACACAGCAACTCTCAGATTAACTCAAATAAAATAAATAAATAAATACATACAAATAAATAATAATAATAATAAATAAATAATAAAATAATAAATACATCCGAAGATATAATGTCTTTATTGCCTTGTTTTTTTCCAAACCACATTAATTTTGTTTTATATTGCTTTGCATGAACAAACACAGCTCTGGGAAACATACAGATTGATTTTTTTTCACTGTGTCCTATCTCAGTTATCTCAGTTCACAACCACAATCCTGGGACAAAGTTTTTTTTGTTTTTTTTTAATTCATTAATACGTAATGATAGTAAAGAATTTGGTGAAAAACATAATGTTAAAACTAACTTGATGGTTACCATACCACAGCTCTCACTTAACAATGAAAATAAGTATTTGGTTACACTTTAGATTAGGGAACACATATTCACTATTAACTAAGAGTCTTCCCTCAATAAACTTCTAATATGCTGATTACTGATAATAAGTAAGGCAGAAGGTTGAAGATCTGTTACAGTAGTTATGTTTAGCTAGGGTTAAGGGATCTAGTCCTGCATTAATATGTGCTTTATAAGTACTAATAAACAGCCAATATACTAGTAATATGCATGCTAATAAGCACATAGTTAATAGTGAATATTGTTCCCTAATCTAAAGTGTTACCTTAAGGGTTATTTTTATACATAATATTAAGCTGAAACATTCCTAATGTAGTAAGTAATGCTGACATGTAGAACCTTTTTTGTAAAGTGCTCTTGCAAACGGACTTTTACAGTTTATTTATTTAGATTTTGTGTAATTTGAAGTCTCATGTATAAACAGCAGTGGTGGAAAGTAATTTTTACTTTGTTACTGTAATGAAGAACATTTTTCAAGAATCTTATCAGAGTATTTTTATTTTGGTTTTTGATATTTTTGTATTGCTTCACTACATTCCAAAGCCTAATATCATACTTTTTACTCCACTACATTTTATAAAAACATATCGTTCCTCATTATTTGACACCAAAGAATCTGATGCCCGCTCAAGATGTGATAGCAATGCCTGATTCATCAAAGAGCTGATCCTTTAAATCGGTTTACAAATCACTCTGAATGATTTATTGGCGAACTGAATCGTCCTGATCAAGGCAGGTCAGGCATGAAGAGGAGAGAAATCTAAACGCAGCATTTTATTTATTGAAAACAAAAACAAAGAAGATGACAACACATAACAGTAAACTAACACAACTAAAGGCCTCGATATACTTCAAACGAAGTTCTTTTTCGTTCTTCGTTTGAGGGCAAAAAGAAGTTCGAAAAGGCTAAGCGGCAGTATACTGTTTTCGAACATTCCGACACCCCCGCGCTGCTGGAGGCAGTGTTGTAAACATGTGTCACGCCACCCGCGTGTACCCCCTAAACACAACAACGATGGCGGCTGTGAGAGAAGAACAGTTTTGTAAACATCTGGCAGTAGCATTGATCTATTCAATGGCAAAGAAAAAGAACAAGAACAAGCGACGTAGATGGTATGTGCGTCCACTTAACGAAAACAGAAAGAATGATGGCGATTTTCCCCCTTTTTATTCAGCAAATGCAGAGCACAGATAAGGAAGTGCGTTTTTCATACTTCAGAATGTGCGCTGCGCGATTTGACAATCTCTTGAAAAGGGTATCGCCATATGTGAAACAGGCAAAAATGCACAGGACACAGATTTCCACTACGGAGAGACTGGCCTTGACACTCCGAGTACTAGCTTGTGGGGCCACGCAACAAAGTGTGGCTGAAACATTCAAAATTGGACCGTGCACAGCCCCGCAAGATAGTCGCGGAGATGTGTTCACCTGTCTGGCCTCCGTGGAATTAGAAACGAACCGGGGGGAAAAAAATCGCACATCAAAGAAGGCGGAGTTCCAGAACACACCCACCGACTGCGTAATTGCCACGGACCAATGGCAGCTCAAAGGTGTTTAGCAGGCAAAACGAACTCCCCCAAAAAGTTCGCTTTGGTGAGCTGTTTCGAACTGCCAAAATGAACTCAAAATGAACTTTGTTTCGGCCTGATTTTGTTCAGGCCGAAATGACATCATTTCAGTTCGTTCTTCGATTTCATTTGAAGTATATCGGGGCCTTGACATTGAAAAAACTGAGGGTAATATATTCACAGGATAAAGAGGGATAAAATAATGCACAGGTGGGATTACTTAATTAACTAATTGGTAACTAAGGAAACAAACTGGAAACAGGAACAAATGAGACAGGAGCTAAGCACAGGGACAAAGAAGAACAAACCAAAATTTGTATCCAAAAACAGAAACTTAAGGGGAACGTGACAGATCCAGTTACAGCTGTTCTCCAGACAACAACTGACCAATTCAATGATCCAGTTAGAGACTGAATTGAATTCACTGAATATGTGCCAAGAAGAAGGAGATTCTCTAAACTACAATGTGCATGACACAGATGGCACTAAAAGTAAGTTACTAAAGTTGAATTTCAGTATTGAATGAAATATCATATATAGGTAATGACTGTCAGTTATTTGTGAACTAAATTTTTGGTAACACTGAAGCTTTTTAAGCTTTTTTAATTTTTTTCCATTGTATGAAATACTTTGTCACAGTCTCTACAGGGTAGGCAACTGTGGGTAAAAACTATGAATAATGCAAAGTTAAAGTAATGCATTTTAATTACCATGGATATTCCCTGCTGGAAATGCCATTTTAATTGATAAAACGTTCCAGTTACTAATCTCCAGTTACTAACCTAACCTTGGCTCTCTGAGATAAGGAAACAAGCGTTGCATTGAAAGCTTATGTGGTAAACTCCTGTTTACTCTGATACTGAAGCCTTGTTTGTCCATATTCGTTTTACACGAGCTGTACAAACAAATGGTGCTTCAGCCCGCCAAAAGGGGTGGAGCCGACTGCTATATAAGTGCAAATCATCAGACTCTTTTGACTGATAACAGCACTCATTGACTCGCGAGCAGCACTGCAGCTTACGCAACACTCCTTCCCTTATCTCTGGGAACCGAGGTTACATTAGTAACCAGAGCATTCCCTTTCGAATAGTCTCTACCGATGTGTTAAACGCTAATGGGGAATGCATCCAATTGCACCGTGCTATATGCAAGTGCAGAACAAAGCCTCTCTGTGAGCCCAGCCCCAGAGCACCCATAATGAGGGCTCCTAAAAGGCATGAGCCAATCATGAGGTCCAAGCCACTAGGCTGGGGTCTACATACAAGACCTTTCCCACTAATATAGGGGATTAGGTAAATTAAAGGGAAAAAGTCTGTACCTGAAGGGCAGGGACGTCCAAGTTATAAAATCTGGTGAAGGTAGATGGCAAAGAGCCGCAGGCTGCCGCACAGACTTTACCAATTGAAACTCCACTGGGCCAAGCCCAGGAGGAGGCCATTCCTCTGGAGGAGTGGGTCCTTACTCCAATAGGACATTGTAAGCCCACTGTGGCATAAGCCAGGGCTATAGTGTCAACTATCCAGAGAAATCTATCCTGCTTCGTGATTGGCAGTCTTTTAGAGCACTCTCTGAAGCATAAAACGAGCTGCTCTGAGTGCAGAAAGTAGCCAGAGCACTCAACATTCACTCTAAGAGTAAATTGGGACCCCACTCTTCCTTTGGGTTAGGAAGAGCTAGAAAGGTGATGACTTGTGCCTGACTCTAACCTCCAAAAAGGTGTTAGTCATTCTCACAGGGAGCTGTAAAGACTCCCATCAAGGGGCCAGACATGAAGGCTCCACAGCTCGGGCCAGGGATGCCAAATCATGCCTCTCGCTTGAGAGAGGAAAACCGTCCTCAATGGGATTGGTCAAGGAGCTGCCAATAGGAACTGAATTAACTTGGATCATTTGAACCGTCTGGGGGAGTAGTCTCCATTCTCCTGGAGCTACATTGCCCTTGGACAGCATGTCCGCACCTTGGTTCAGCCTGCCGGGCACGTGAACTGCCCTCAGTGAGAGCAGGTTGCACTGTGCCCATAGGAGGAGGTGTCTCACCCTCCTATAAAGGGAGTGTCACCTGACACAGGCCCGGTTCTACGGGAGCTCCCCGACCTTGGAGGCATCTGTCCTGACTACCTTCCTTCTGGAGGTCTGTCCCAATGGGATGCATGTCTGAAACAGACAAAGGGTTTTGCAAGGAGCCACGGCACTGATGTAGCTGTGGATAACTTTGAGGTGAAGATGTCCCAGGCACCAACCGTGGGACGGTATACAGGCTTTGAGTCAGAACTGGAACAATGCCTTTAGCTGCTGAATTATCAGTGAGTGTTCTGGTGCGACTCAGGCCCACATCTGGGACGAAACAATACTTGTGCCCAGGCAGACTACTCGCTGGCTGGGAGACGCAAGGCTTCAGGTGGCTGAGCAGCAGCGACCTGTGAGTGAGAAGTTCCAGCTCCGATCTAGCTAACACCAGCCAGTTGACAAGACAGCCCATAATGGGGATTCCCATCTGCCTCAGAGGGGAAAGAGCCGCATCGATGCACTCCACCAAGTGTATGCGCCAGAGACAGGCCGAAATGGAGGAGTATTGATAAGCCACCTCCTTGAACGTAAATGTCAAAAATGGTCTGTGATGAGGGGCTATCTGGATGTGACAGTAAACATCTTTCAGATTCAGCGATAAAAAGCAGCCCCCTGGGCATATTTGCTCAAGGATGTGCTTTAAAGTTAATATCCTGAACGGGCGCTATATTAGGGCCTGATTCAGGCATTCAAGATCGAGGATAGGCCTGAGCCCACCACCTTTCTTGGGAACAAGGAAGTAATGGCTTTAAAAGCTCGCTGTTCACTGGGGGGACCATCTCTACGGCTCCCTCTGCAAACAGACTTTGCACTTGGCCTGGAGAACATGTGAATTGTCAAAAAGAACCTCTGAAGCGAGGAGGTAGCCGAACAAATTGTAGCCTCATTCTGTGGTCTGCAGAACCCAGCTTGACATGCCCAGAATGGCTTCCCAAGCCTGGAGCCGGGCGGCAAGTGGTCTGAGATTTCCGAGTGGCAGGTCGCTGCATGGAGGCAGGGAACTGACATTCATAGTATTGATATTTTGAGTATGTGGTTCCGCTATTCCAGTGGTAATTTGCTCGGGTAAATGGGGAAGGATGGCCACAGAATGAACAACACTTACATAACCCGGAGCTAAACGGGGAATTGGAAAGCGAGCATGAGACTTCATTTTGGGTGGTCCGGCCTCAGCACGACCTGGCCCTCTTCTTTTTCTCTCTGCATAGAGATCGAGATGACTTCTGTGGCTCAGGGTGCTACACCACCCCCCAGGCTCTGATTTTGGCCAAGGCTGAGCTGGAGACAGCGAGAGCTTTGCAGGCTGCTGGGAAGATGAAGCCATCTGGTGACCTGAACCAGCCGCGGAGCTGAAACGCTTAGGGGAGACTGGGGAGTCAAGGAAGGCGATTTTGTCTGTGTCCTTGATCTCCTTCAAATCTAGCCAAAGGTGGCTATTGCCTGCGCAATTGTGGTAGCCATATAATCCTGTAGCCCAAGACTGGTTGCCCACTGAAGCTAAGGAGGGTTGAGCCTGGAGACCTCCAAGGAAAACTAGGTTGCTGCTGGAAGAGGTGTTAATGAGGCCAGCAGTGGGTGCTCACCCTTTGGTCTGTGTGGGTCCTAACGCCCCAGTATAGTGACGGGACACTATACTGTAAAAAGCACTGTCCTTCGGTTGAGATGTTAAACCGAGGTCCTGACTCTCTGTGGTCATTCAAAATCCCATGGCACTTTTCATAAAAG